CCTTCCAACCCAAACCAGTCTGGGATTTGAAGACAAACAGAGAAGCAGAGCAGACTTTACATACGCTTCGCATCCAGGTCTGTAAGGAGAAACCACAACCGCATCTTGGTGCGTCTGTAACTTTTTACTTGTAATAAACATAGCGGCATTAGATGAATGTCACTTCTGGTAATGGCATTTAGATTCTCTGCTGTGGCTCCTCTCCCGTGCTCTGAACACTTAAAGTAACAATTAATGATCTTCAGCTTCTTATTCCACTTAAATGAGCAGTTCCTCTGTAAATTTTCAGGCTACCATCTTACGGTGGAAGACTCATAGAACTGAAAATCAAGGCTTGGGAAACAACAACAACAACAACAACAACAAAAAACCCCACCATAACCACCACCACCAAAACTCACTTGACTGTTTCTAGACAAATATCCAACTATGGTATTTATTGCCAGGGAAGTAGCAAGTGCATAATTACATTACAGAGGAAGCTTGCTCTTTCCACTTGGCGTGCAGCTGGAGCAGGCGCTGGTTGCCACAGCAACAGGGAGATGGCTAAATATAGCATCCTCGGTGCTGGACCGCTTAAGGTAGAATGATGGGGAGGTGTGAGGGTGTGGGCCTGGCTCTCTTGGGCCTGACTCTCTTCATCTTGACTAACTTTTAACAAAAAATTTTCTCAAGTGCACAGTTGACTTGGATAGAGCCCTAATTTCCTTTTGCTGCACTGATGCTCATGTAGTTCTTCAGATCCCTCCCTGAACATCACTTCTTCTACAATTCCTTTAAGAAGCAAAATTGGAGTTGGAGTAATTGGAAGTGTTTCCCCCTCCACGCACGCTTCTCAGTTTCCTTTTATCTGATGGTTTTAAGTTATGAGCTTTTCAGGCTAGGACTGTTTTCTTGATAAAGAGAAAAGAAAATAAAAATACAAACCCACAAAACCCACAGTGGCATTGACTGCTTCAAAGAGACCAACACACGGAGCTTCTGCAAGGAGCTGCTATTAATTTGTTGTGTTTCCAAGAGGGTTTTCTTCACTGAGTCACACCATTAATTCACTGTACCTACATGATGGTCACTACTGCTGGAAAGTTGCAGTCTGGCCAAACGCTGCTTTTACAGCCTGAATGCCAAGCTCTCTTCTCAAGCTTCCATTTGTTTCATGGCTCATGATTATCCATATAAATAATTCCTCTTTTTTGAATCCTCTGAAGCTTTTGTCCTCAATGAAGTTTTGTGGCAAGTACTCTCGTAGTCTGAATATGGAAAGAGCACTTCCTTTTATCACATCTAAATTTTAGTCTTTCATTTAGATAAATGTCATCTTTCTTTTGTGTTCTGAGAGGGTAAATCACGATCTTGATCTTTGTCATTCATTAGTCTCTATACTATTATCATGGCTGCTCTTAATGGTCTCTTAAATAGCTAAAGAGAACCAATCTTTTCACCTCATCAGTGCATCAGGGTTGGGTTTTTTTTAATCCCTTTCTCCTTTCTTAAATCATCAGGTTCTTGATATTTCTCTCCTATATTTGGAGGGATAAAAGTGTTCCATAGACTGTAGTACAAGATTTCAGTGGTGGATCTGTCCCTGCCATTCCCACCATCCTGTTCTTTGGCTGGTTTTGGTGACTTCTGCACAAAAGAGAACTCCTTGTGGACTTTGTTCAGGTTTTCCAGGGAGCAGAGAGTTGATTTAGGAGTCTTGCAAGGTTTGTGATTAATTCACATTATTTTCTTTAGGATGCATTGTTGGTTTTGTTAATATTGATTTTTTCATCTGCCATCTTGTAGTCTGTTCACATAGCAGTCTGAGCTCTTCAAAAAGTTCCTTATAGTGTTCTCCAATCTGGTAATCTCTTAAAAACTGCATGACTACTCATTTCACTGCTAATCCCCATCTCAGCTCATGAATAAATATCACAAGCACCACCTGTCTCGATATGAAAAACTTCTGGTAGCCACTGTAAGCCTGTTGCTGTCATGAAAATTAATGATTAATTTGTGGTCTGATTTTCTCCATGCTACATATTTTAATCCACGTTACTGCTTTATTTCACCAACCAAGCCTTTGCAGATAACTCCTGACAAATGCAACGAACTTTGGCAAAGGTGTTTGAAATCCTGAATGACTGAAATGATTCTTTTCTGTCACATTAGCCATCTCATTTCTGGAGGTGAATCAATCACAGGTTCAATTCACGCTTGTATCGTGGCAGAAACCATGTTGCTTTGAATCTATTGTCATGATTTTCAGAGAGTTATCTTGTTTTAATTGTAAAGGGTCACTTGAGCTCAGCTGTTTGGTTTTGAGATGGCTGCTTAAATCGTGACAGCAGCAGCAGCATAGGGTATATGTGGATGAACAAATATGATGAGGAAGTGGTATGTGAATCTGCAGGAGCTGAGCTGTGTGATGCCTACCTGTGTGAATGTTCTCCCTCTGCACTAAGCATAGCATACTCAGAGGTACCTTCAGGTAAACTGGCTTGAATTTAAACTGGTTTGAATTTACTTCATGGTAAGAAGAAGCAGAGACACATCTTTCACTGTGTTGGACTGCCTGCTAGCACACTCTAACAGTGTACTTGCCCTAATTTGCCTGAAGCTTTTAAAACTTAATTCTTCTTTCCACCTAGCATTAAATCATGTGTCTGTTTTTTGTAGGTGAAACTAGTCACAGAAATAGCCATGCTCAAAATCAGTCGGTGGGTTGGGAAGTCCAGGAGTTGTGCTTTTCTGTCCTACCTGCACGTGCTTTAGAAGTGCTTGGCAGAGCAGGTGGAAGCTCATTTCAGACTGGTGCCCTTACCTAAATATTACTGTGGAATATTTTCAGTGTTACTGTAAGACAGCTGTAAAATAACTCTTATTTTCTGTATTCATTCCCTGAATATCTTCCATACTATACATCAACATTTCTGTATTTGAGCAGTAGATTCAGATACTTCCCATCTTGAAGATCCATCATGAAATAACGTTTTAGGAGATGAAAGAGATTATCAAAGTGTAATATATAACACACTTGTGTTGCCATTTCTGCCACCTTAGCTCGAGATTTAGAAGTTGTTTTTTGGACTTGTGCCAGCTATGCTCAATCAGTTCGGTGTAGTTTACCCCAGTGTGTGTGTATATACACGTGTGGAGCTTGAGTCTCTTGCTGTATTGACCTTGGAGTTGTTCCTGATTCGCACCAGCTGCCTGAATACTTATATTATGCTTAAAATCATATTATTAAATTTCAATTTAGGATTTGGATGGGGTTTTTAGACAGATTTTAATCTCAGTTGCATCCTAAAGGTTTTCTTTAGGCTTGCAGTAATTTCCTGAAACATGAAAGAAGTTTCCTTTATTTTATGATAATATATCTTCATTGCCTTTCAGATCAAAAGGGGTAATCCTGAATATCTCCTCAGCTGCTGGGATGTATCCAACTCCACTGCTGACTCTTTACTCTGCAACCAAGGTAAGTGTTCTTTTCCACAATGAAATCAAGACTCAAAACACAAGCCAAGGCTACAGGAATGAATGTTTTGGTGTCCATCTAGTGGTGCTTTCATGAACTAAAAGTACTGAGCTTCTAACTTAAATTTTTCCAGTAGTTGAAGCTGGAAGGTCGAGAGAAAGATGAGTGCAAGGGTTTCCTGGCATGGAAACGACTATTTTCTATATTTCATGATGCATTCTACTTTTACATGGAGAAGAATGCTCGTGTACCAAGCAAGCTCAGGGTGAGGTTGAGGAATTTAACACACTTTCTCAATTTGACTTTGAAACTTTTTTCCCTAATCTTGCTGAAGATGTGTATCTTCAATATATATGTGTGTGTATATATATTTATTTAAGTAAGACTCTTCTGGTGCTTGCTAGAAGCAAATTTTATCTTCATTTTTTATTAGTTGCTTTAAATTTAACATTTCAGGTAAGAGAAAGGATAGAGCTCTAGGGCCTTGCCATTGCCAACAGTCAACTTCCCTTGATCTGCTGACCATACATCTGCTAATGTAGCTCAGTATGTCATTTGATGTTCTTGCAGAGAGTGGATTATTGGCTTATCTTCTCCCTGGCAGCCACCATAAATTCCAGGTTCTTTGCAGCAGGGCTGCTACTCAACCAAAATTAAGGCATGGCGTTGTCCCACTCTGCATGCAGAGTGCTCTGTGCCAGTCAGGAAATCTCATGATCTTTAACAATAATCAAGTTTCATCAGGGTCTCTCTGGACTGAAGCTCTGTTGCGTCAGCTGCTCCATCTAATGTTGTCATCTGCAGATTTGCTGAGGGCGTGCTCTGTGTCATCCTCGAGGTTGCTGATAGGAGATACTGAAGAATATGGGCCTCTCCATTATCTGTAGGTTTCTCTGCCTGTTATCAGCCAGACATCAAGCTATTGATCATGGCCCTTTGCGCCTGGTGGTCCAGCCAATTTTCAGCCTGGCCAGCAGTTCGTCCTTTCAGCACATCTCTGCTCGACTTCCAAATGAGAGTGCTGCAGAAGATGGTGTCAAAAGCTTTACTGAAGATGTCTCTATGTATATACACACATAAATATATATTTTTATATCTATTAAAAATCTGTTTCCCTCATCTACAAAGCTAGTCCACTCTATTGTAGAAAGCAGTGTAGTTGCTCAAACATGATTTGCTGTTGGTAAATCTGTGTTGTGTCCAGTTCTGGAGCCCCCATCACAAGAGAGACATGGAGCAGCTAGAACAAGTCCAGAGGAGACCACCAGGATGATCTGAGGGCTGGAGCACCTCTCCTATGAGGACAGGCTGAGAGAGTTGGGGCTGTTCAGCCTGGAGAAGAGAAGGCTCCGGGGAGATCTTATAGCGGCCTCCCAGTACCTGAAGGGACGACAAGAAAGCTGGGGAGGGACTTTTCATAAGGGCAACTAATGACAAAACAAGGGGAAATAGGTTTAAACTGAAAGAGGGGAGGTTTAGATTAGATATTAGGAAGAAGTTCTTCACTGTGAGGGTGGTCAGACACTGGCCCAGGTTGCCCAGAGAAGCTGTGGCTGCTCCTCCCTGGGAGTGTTGAAGGCCAGGTTGGATGAGGCTCTGAGCAACCTGGTCTAGTGGAAGGTGTCCCTGCTGCTGGCAGGGGGGTTGGGACTGGGTGATCTTTAAGGTCCCTTCCAATCTAAACCATTCTGTGATTCTATGACTGTTGATGATCTATCTTCTTGTCCTTTATGTGCTTGGAAATGAATTCCAAGAGGAGGACTCCATGATCTTTCCACAAACTGAGTTAAAGCTGATGGGATCATTCTTGCCTTTTCAAGGAGGGGATAAGTTAACCCTCTTCCAGTTGTTAAAGACCTCCCTCAGTTTCCATAGTTTATCAGATATGGTAGGTAGCAGACTTGCACACATATGGACTAGTTCTTTCAGCTCTCTTAAATGAATCCATGGTGGCTTCATGGATTTGAATACATTGAGCTTCTCTGAGTAGTCCCAAAATTGTTGCTGCCTCTGCCCATCTCTTTGGTTAACCAAAGCTGGTGCGTGCAGAGGCGTGTGAGCAGGCTTTGGCTGTGCAAAGGCAAGAGAAGTGCTGAATGCCTTAACCTTTTTCTATCCTTCATCTCTAGGTTGTCTCCCTCACCCATCAACAGACCCCCATCTCTCTGAAATTCCTCTTGAAACCTCTAGGATCCTTTACCACTACCCTTACTGGCCTTTGCTAGTCTTTTCCTACCTTGGATTTTATTCCTAAATACCCATTAATTTTTTATGTTTCTCTTTTGTTACTTCTCCTTGTTTCTGTCTCTCATATGCTTATTTTTAGTTCATCAAGAAGCTCCACACTTAGACAAACGCTCCCTTTACTGAAATTTCCTGTTTGCTTCCACAATAGGCTGGATTATTTTACCAGTTCTTAAGTTACTACTGTAGATCTACATTTCATGTTCAGTTTATCTGCTCTGGTTTCAATTTGTGTCGCTGGGACAGTTTTGTCTTTCTGCAGCTGGTGTTATTTTTTTTTTCCAGAGATGCTTATAGGGGCTTCTAAAATATTCACCTAAAAAGTCTCCAGTTAACACCATAAAGACAGAATATGGGTACACGGTATGGAACTGAAATGTATGTGATAAAACTAAGTGCAAGAGACATTTACACTGGTATTAAAGCAGTATGACACTACAGATTGGTTTTTTTTTCAGGCACACCTGGTAAATACCTTAAATATTTCAAAGATTTCAGAGTCTTAAGCAGAACCTTGACAGGATGAAGAAACCTTCAGCAGTGTCGTTCATGTCAGAACAGACCTATGTTTCCTCTAGACTCTCAGTAATGTCTTCATATTTCCAGAAAGGAACTGCTGTATTTTATTCATAGTAAAGGAAGGGATATTGAAGTTTAGAAATCATGAAAACCTGAATTAGTTTTTAGCTGATAAAATTTGCTCTTCAAGTAGCTGTTTCCTGAGAGCACAGTTCTTTGTTTTTAATATGAAAGGTCACTTTGGTTGTGGCAGTGCCTTCAGCTTTACGGAATGGATTGAGTTTCTGATTTTAGTGATAATATGCTTTGGTTAGTCTTTTTTTTTTTTCAATAAGAATCTCAAATATTTTCTCCCCTCCCTGTAAGAAACTCCATTACAGGTGAAGTAATCTCCCTGTTCTCAGCACTGCTCGTCTCCTACTACAGCAAGATTAGTGAGCATGAAAGTGACTCCCCTAATGTAGCTATCGAAAGACTGTATCTGCAATTTCTAGGGGTTTTTTTTTTCTCCTCATCTATCTAGAGGGGGTTTAAAGCATAGTATCCTTCAGGTCTAAGTCAATGGCTTTGGCTAATTATCAAGAACAGAGGCAGTTCCAACTCTTTAACCTTCCCATGGAGAATTCCCTATTTCACAATGAAACGAGACACTTTTAAAGGCATCATGTTCCTATTTTTGACAGGCTTACCTATCTACCTGCATTAATATTAATGTTTTGTTTTCCCTGCCATGTCTTTAGTATTTGGGTTTGTAACTGGATAGCCAAGAATTTGGCTATCTAGTTTTTTATAACTAAAACTATAATTTTAGTTTCCTTAATATCTGTTTATTCAGGGGATGCTTAATTAACGTTCCTCAGACTGTTTTAAGCTAGAGGCTGCTGAAGGGCTTCAGGATTTGGAGGTAGAAAACCCTCCTTGTGTTGAGAGAAATTCTTCAAGAAGAAAAACTCCACAGTTTATTTGGATACTAGAAGTTGCTTTTCTTCTCATGTAAAATGAACATTCTCTTTATTGCAAGCTCTTTGCAACTCGTAGAGATGACAGTGTCTTTACACTGTCTCTTCATGTTTGGAGCAGAAACTGATTTCAGGACTCTTGTCGTGTAGAAATAGAAATTTGAATGATAAAAGCCCTTTGATTAACACAATATAGTTTTATATTTATTTTTCATAGATTATTGATATACTCTGTGCAGTTACCACACGTATATCTGGCAACTGTGTGCAGGGAGTGCACAAAATTATTTGCAGGTCTATGCAGGTGCCCTGTTGTTGCAATAGCATGACTAGCTCCCTTGAATCACAGCTTCTAGACCTGGCTTTCAGAGACTTGTTGGATACTGGATTTCATTAAGAACTTATACTTGGGAGAAAGGGAGAAGGAAAGAACAAGCAGACAGAAGATAAGCTTTTTTTTTTTTGGTTTAATGAGCCTCCTTCTAGCTTGTACATGCAACCTGAAGAATAAAAGGAGCTATCTGCTACACAGCAAAATCTAGTTTTCTTTCAGATCTTGTGTACGCTCAGAAAAGCGTCTATAGAAATAGCCTAGTAGCGTGGGAGTGTTTCTTTTGCTTCTTGTATAAGCTGAGTTCAGTAGGATGACCTTAACAGGAAAAACACGGGGCACTGCAAGCTTTAAGCACTGGTTTCAGTTGGGACTTCTATTAATCCAGTGGTGACACTGTCAGCAAAGGAAGGCTGTAAAGCAGGTGCAATACAGGAGCTTTGCTGTTTGTTTCGAAATGGATCTGCAGCAACTGCTTCTTAAAGACTTGAATTAATGTATTTAGTATGAATTTTAGCTTCAAGCATGGATAAGATAGTTTAGTTCCTTCAGTTGAAGGTACTCCATTCATCCTACTTGGCTGTATTGTTTCACTAGAACACAAAACCACAGCAGAACCTGGGATTTTGTCTCACTGGACTGCAGGAGGGAAAAGTGGAATGGTGGCTTAGAAGAACTCGAGGAGGGGGAATCTGTGCTGGTTTGAACTGCTGAGTAGCCTGGGGTTCTTGGGACAATGCTTTCTTGTTGTGGTTGTAGAGGCAGCTGTGTCAGATGTGAGGGCATCTTGAAAGCAGGTGCTAACATCCACCTTTTAAACCCTTTCGCTTCTTTCTTGCAACTTTTAGTCTTGTCATTTCTAAAACTTCCAGAAGTTTAGGAGACAATCTGTGGTAGTGGACTTCTTGACTAGGAAAAAGTGTCACTGTAGGGTGGTATTTCTTAAAAATGTAAAGGCAGAAGACAAAGTATTTAAACACTGTGCTTTAAAAACCTACTTAAATCACTTAAAAAAAAAAAAGGCTAAAGAGATGACATAAGTAATGGACAATGTGAAGATACAAAGTCTTATTTTCCTTTTTTTAACTAGGCTTTATGTAATGAATCTAGTTCCTTCTCAATTAAAAAGGGTTTTATTTGTTCAGATTGAGCCTCGCTCCTGTGAAAATGCTTTCTAAGCATAGGGCTTCTATTCAGATGGCTTTGCTCTAATAGGCAAAGTTTCTTTGAAAACCTCAGGGTTTTTTTTTACTTTGAAAAGAAGGAACTATAAATAGTAATTCAAATATGCTTACAGAAACCTGCAAACTACAGTTTCCATTTTAATGCTTAGCATGCTGCATATTTCCCTTCTTTTTTCTCTCTAGGCTTTTGTGGATTACTTCTCCCGAGGCCTCCATGCAGAATACAAGAGCAAGGGCATCATTGTGCAGGTGAGTAGTTTGTTCCATGCAAGTGTGGTTACCACAGCAACATTGGTGTCTTGGTAACAAAAGGGAATCAGCATATTCTCTTATTCATAAATATGTGACACAGATTAAGGATAAGGATTTCCTTTGATCCCATTAGCATTTTTTTTTTTAAGTTAACTCTTAACTTTTGAAGCAACAAAAACCACGGTTGTGTTTTTTGGGTTTGTGGGTTTTTTGTGGGTTTTTTAAGATGATAGTGGTAATTGAACTTTGAAGTATAAAATATTCCATAAAACTGTGTGCAACTCTGTAGAATACATCTTTATACAATTTAATGGATGGGAATGTACTTTTGGAGTCTAGTTGTACAGAGATTCAAATGGGCAACTGCTCAAAAGACTAGTACAGCAGCAGTCCCTTCCCTGCAGTCAGTGTATTAACCACTAGTGTATGTGTAGGAGCAAGAACAAACAAAAACCTCGGTTTAATTTAAATTAAATTAAAATCTTAAAAATAAGACTGCTTTAATTTGCTTTAGTACTGGGTTTCCATGTTACTAATGAGTCTTGCTTTCCCCCCCCATATTTTACCTTCCATGTTTTTGATTATTTTTGATGAGGCATAAAAGCAAATCAAGCCAGCTTTGGGTTTTGGGGGTTTTTTTTTTGAGAAGCCAGTCTCACAGCTTTATGGGATTTTGCTCTAATATCGCTCACTTCTCACATACTCTTTGTTTCAAAAACATATTTCCAGCTTTGGTTGCAAACACTGAGGTTTTTCATCACTTCTTACACCTGTTGCTCTCCACAGCAATACTCAGTTCAATAAAGGTGCTGTGAGATCTTACCTGTACTGTGAAGACAGTGCTGTTACCTTTTTTTAAATTCAGTTAGGAATCTTCTTACAAACAGAATTACCCTATGTCCGTGCTTGTCATTCCCCTGTTCTGTCTGGTGGTTCTCAAAACCATCTGAACTCCAAAAGCCCCATGAGGAGTAAGGCACAAAGTTGCCCACCTTGTTTTATTAAGTGTGAGAGCACAGCTTTTGTTACTGGCTAAAACCATAGAGAAGTTGTTACCAACTTAAGGCTCAGTTTCCTTTTTGACATGCTAGATCTTTAATTTTTTTCCCCTTTAAGCATACTTAGCAAAACAAGAACTTATCACCCGGAGATGTCCTGGAGTTTAGTATCCAGATGTCCAGTCCCAGATGTTTAGTAAAATGTCCCATCCCAGTTTCCGAGAGAGGTTTGTGTTAAGAAAAAAGACAATTGCTGGTTCTCTTTTTTCATGCAGTCACTGACCTTTTAAGGAGAACATCATTTAAACCTAGATTTAAACCTTATCCTAAACATCTTAAAGGATGCTGTTTATTTTGGAGACTGTTGGCAGTGGAGAAGAAGCTAGCAAAGGTAGTCCCTGAAAGCATTCTAGCTGCTGTTGTTACAGATCTTCTCCAGAACAGACTAGATAAGGTTAGTTTTACTCTGGTAAGAGGTTAGAACTTGCTGTGGAGCTGCCAGAGCATAACTTCTCAGAGTGCTCTGTACTGTGCCCTCACACCCTGGGATGTACCTGCAGCTAAGCCAGCGTGCAGCAGTGAAGGATGGCACTCTGAGCAGGTACACCTTCAGCACACAGGGTGGTTTGTGTGTGCTCTCAGTTCTTGAAACAAATTAAGCTGGAGCAACTTTTATTGTTTTATATCTCCTTGTTGTTTTCTCTTTTCACAGGGCTTTCCAAGTCTTTCCCTGGCTTCAACCCTAAACTGCCCAGCAATGGGTCAATTTTCACCACACTACAAGTTCCTTTTGCTTTTACCCTTCCATATTACTTCTATCTCCCCAGTGTGGTTGAAGTTGTATTACTTGCAGATTTAGTTTCCTGATCAGACAGCTGTTCTTCCAATCCATTTCATCTCCGTGCAGTGTGGCCCTCTTTTAATCTGTGGTCACAGGCCTCCAAATGAGGCTGAAGGAACTGGAAGAATATTTCTCTTTTCTACATCAATAATATGAACTTTTCTGGTAGGATTTAATGACTCTAAACTGGAAGAGGGGAGGTTTAGATTAGATATTAGGAAGAAATTGTTTGGTGTGAGGGTGGTGAGACAGTGTCCCAGGTTGCCCAGAGAAGCTGTGGCTGCTCCTCCCTGGAAGTGTTTGTGGCCAGGTTGGATGAGGCTTTGAGCAACCTGGTCTAGTGGAAGGTGTCCCCGCTGATGGATTGGGAGTTGGAACTGGATGAGCTTTAAGGTCCCTGCTAACCCAAACCACTCTGGGATTCTATGATTTCTTTCCTGCTCAAGCCTACCTACAAACTCTGAGGCACAGGCTCCTTCAACACACAGTTTTGCTGGCAATAGAGCCAAGTGTGACTTACTGGTTTGGGTTTTTTTGAGAGGAAAACGAGGAAGGAGTAGGTATTGCTCATTTATGACTGTGGAGTACCTATTGAAAAGGTAAATAACCTAGTAACTCATGCTGGCTAAAGGCATTAAACACACTATGAATGTAGATAGTATGGGAAATATTATAAATTATTTTTTTTAGCTTTTGGATATGGAAAAGCTAGAAAAAGGGTTTTCAGTGTCTTCCATTTTTAACACTATAAACAAATGAAGAATTAAATCTGGCATTCTATATCAACAATTATGTTTTCCTGTACAAAACAGGTTGTGGTAACCTGTCTTTTTGTAACTCCCATGTTGGCTAAGGCTGCTAAATTCCTGACAGCACTGCTTTTTTGCCCCTAAATGTAGACAGTGGATTGCTGTTCTGAGTTATGTGGGCCTGATGACCAATAGCTGTCACAGCTTCAATTTGTTATGCTAATTTTATTGCAGTCCATGTCCTTGTCATCTTGTTCCAGCCTAAGTCACTATAAACCACTAATGAATATTACAGGTACCTTTCTGTGAAGACTAGCTGATGTATCTTCTTCAGGACCTTTGGAAGACTGCATCTCCTTTAGATTCTTTGAAGTTCATCTCTCTGACCTTCAGAAATGTAGCACTTTTAATTCCAGACTTGCACTTCCAGCTGAGAACACCATTTAAACCAGTTAACTTTTACTATGCCAACACTTGCAGAGTATCACTGCCCAAAAAGCAGAAATACAGTCCAGGTGGTATTTTACCAATTTCAAGTTCAACCTAAGGTATATTAGTTCTGCTCAAGTGGATTGCCTTCTGTGTGTAAGCTTTAGTTTTGATAGTACTTAGTGCTTTTATTACAATGCAGACATCTTTAGATTAAAAATATGGTGTTTCTGGCTGACAAGCTTGTTTAATTTTACAGAAACAGCACAGTAATAGTGTAGGTTAAAATTCAGTGTGTGTTTACGTGAAGAGAAAAGGCAAAAAGAAAAGGAATGAGGAAGCAGATGTCAAGGACTTCTCTCAAGACTATTTGAAAAATCTCTCCCTGAAAGGTTTCTGCAGACTCTTCTGAAAATTTTGTTCTTTGAATATGTCTAAAAATACTGCTTGGTTCTTTACCTCTTTCTTTTACTCCCTTCTTAAAACTTCAGTCAGTATTGGCATTTTCCCTCTTTACTTCATTACTATCTGTAGTAAAAGTGGAGCAGTGAAAATCCCTCTTAACTTCATCGCTATCTGTAGTAAAAGTGGAGCAGTGAAAATCCCTCTTTACTTCATCACTATCTGTAGTAAAAGTGGAGCAGTGAAAACTTTAACTGCCTGTTTTCTTCTGCCATATCTACTATGTAAAATACTAGATCACAGAATCATGGAAGCGTTTGTTTGAAGGGATCTCTAGGAAGTTTTCTAGTCTAACCTCCTGCTTTCCTAGTGTTAGCAGTGGGATTGCTGCTAACACAAGATCACAGGCTAGTTGTGGCTTTCTCCAGCCACATCTTGAAAACCTCCAAGGGCAGGGATGCTGTGAGCAATGTGGACAGCGTGTTACAGAGTGTTGCACTGCTCTCCTAGGAAATGACTTCTTCCTTAGTGTCCATCTGAAAGTTCACAGCCCAAATTGACAGGTTTGCCTCTTGTTATTTTATCTGGCATTACCAAGAAGAGTTTAGTTCTCATCTTCATAACTGCCCTTGAAATAACTATAGGTAGGTGTTGGGTCACCCCCAGCCACCTTTTCACTGCACTGAACAAGCCCATGTCTCTCTCCAGCTATTCACAGAAGTGTGCTGTCACCAGACTAGTGGCATTGCCTTCCTCCAAGGCTTTTTAGCTTTGCTCTTTAGCTTTCTCCACAGGTCAGCTTTGGTTGCTGCAATTCTTCCATTTCCTCTGTATATCCCCCCACCCTCCTTTTCCTCCACAGAGAAATGGGAAGAGACTTCAGAAGCACTCAAGAGTTCAGGTCTTTTTAAAAAGTAAGGTGAAAGAGGTGGTAAAATTGTGTAAACAAGCTATTCTGACCTTTTGGAGCTTGTTTTCATGTGACTATAGCATAAGTAGTAGAAGAGATCAGTTCTTACATCCATATAACATTCAAGACCCCAATTCTGAGTGCCAACCAGTTTTAATAAGCATGAGAGCTGTAAGCACTAGTAAATGTTTTAGGAGAGCAAGAGACATTGTATTAACATAAGCTACTTTTAAGGCATGTTTTGAAACTGGAGAGCAGAATAGTCTTTCTCTGGATAAAGAGAAGGAATTTTCTATACAGTTCCCTCCCCGGGTAGTGTAGATTTGTATCTGCCTGAATACAAAATGCTAAAAGGCTTTAGGCAGTGAAAGTTTTCTTTTTCTTTTTATTATTTTTATTTTTTTAATCTGTCATGCTAGTTTTAGAAAGGGTTCATGAATGTGGGGAGGAAGAAGAAGGGAAAGCTAATTTAATGGATTCAACAGTTCTCTTCAGAGCTGTTAAAATATGGCACAGTGAATGGGATTGATGGTAAACCTTATGTTTCTGAAATTAAATACCTGTCTCTTTTCTAGAGAGCATTTGGGAGGAAAAGAATTTGGAGTGTAAATCTATTGCTTCCATGTGCTTTGAAGTCTGTGGATCAATAGCTAACCACTAGTGCTACTGTGTGCTGGCTTTTTCGGGTATCCTCATGCACAATTGTTTGCCCCTTCATGCTATCCAGTGGCCAAACACCAAATTAGAGATTTCGTTTACAAATGTAATCTGAAAAATGGATGAGATTCACATTCTGGAGCTGAAACTAGGTACCTGTGCTGTTATGGTAACAGAATTAGGTGTTTTTATCTGAGCATTTGTAGCTTTTGGTGACTTTAAAGGTGATGGTAACCACTTACACTTCTGAAATTCAAGTCTCCATGTTTTTCCTCTCCATTTAAAAGTGGACTCATGCAGTATATTTATGAAAGTCCTATTTATAGAAAGAAGTGCATGGTTTTAATGTTCTAAGGTGAAGGAATGAGCAGATACACCAATGCTTCCTGTTGGTGGTGGTTGAATTCCTGTTGAAACCTGCACAGCCATGGTATGGGTAAATAGTCAATGAGAGTTCAGGTGGCCCATTCCTCCCTGTGCTCTGCTTCTGAGCACGCGATAGTCAAGCTAATGTTTCTCAGGTCAAGCACACGTGGTCATTGTTCTTTGAGATTAACGTGGGGAATCACAGAATCAGAATCACAGAATGTTGGGGATTGGAAGGGACCTCAAAAGATCATGTAGTCCAATCCCTCTGCCAAAGCAGGAACCTAAATGAGATCACAGAGAAAGGCATCCAGGCGGGTCTTGAATGTCTCCAGAGAAGGAGACTCCACAACCTCCCTGGGCAGCCTGTTCCAATGCTCTGTCACCCTCACCGTGAAGCAGGTTTCCAAAGTGTACCTTACCCAAATATATTGAGTTTCAAGATGGTAATCTCATTTTGAGATCCATTAGTGAAGCATAAGTGGATGCTCACTTCTCAGGTACCTGCTGTAAGGCTACGTGAATCATAACGCTCTCTGCTGTCATGGGCAGTATTGAACCATCTGTGTGGAATCACTTGTGTAGCCACAGACAAACTGACAATGTTTTAGGAGGTCCTTGTCAAAGTGGTAAGGTTCCAACCTTTCACAGCTTGTGAGATCCGATATCTCAATATCTGATTGAGTGGCCATAGTCCAGGTAGTCCAGGGCTTTTTGATTACTTTTTTTTTTGAGGAGACTTAGGTTGAGGACAGGTTGAAAGCAATGCCAAAACCATGACGATGGGGAAATAAGGTCGCTTCCTAATGTGCAAGTAGACATGCATTTCCCTTTCCTTCTCCAGGAGCATGAACTGCAGATAGGTGGAATGTGGTTTTGAATCCCTCAGGTCTATGTCTATCTTGCCCCACCATGGATGTGCCTTTGTGGTACTGGTGTCCCTCTGTCAACCACGTACCCATGCTGCTTCTCTTGCTTTTTTCATTCTGCCAGGGCCAGGTAGTTCTGACACCCACCATCATTTTTTCTGTTTCTTTCAACCATTACCATAAAAGCCCATGAACTGCACTCTACTTCTTAATCCTTCCTTCTGACCTTGAGGTCTTCCACTCTGGTACTGATATCTCCTCCTTCCTCTGAACCCTCCTGTGGAGTTATAAGCTCAGCGTTCCAAGTCTCCAGACATTCCCTTTCCTTCTTCCTCCTGCCTTTGTGTTTCACTTATTGCAGCTCTTCAGTACTTGAAGAGTACTTGTAAGAAAGATGAAGACAGACTTTTTATCAGGGTATGTTGCAATAGGACAGGGGTGATGGTTTTAAACTAAAAGAGGGGAGATTTAGACTGTATGTAAGGAAGAAATTTTTTACGCTGAGGGTGGTGAAACCCTGGCCCAGGTTGCCCAGAGAGGTGGTAGAAGCCCCATCCCTGGAAACATTCCAGGTCAGGTTGGACGGGGCTCTGAGCAACCTGATCTGGTTGAAGATGTCCCTGCTTACTGCAGGGGGTTGGACTAGATAGCCTTGAAAGGTCCCTTCAACCCAAATCATTCAGTGATTCTCTCTGTATAGGTGCCAAACTGAGGAGCTGTTAGTCAAGAATAAAATCCCTTTCTTGGGTTCTGTGCATCCTTCCCAAGCAAACGTTGAGAGTTTACTACAGAGAAGCACCACTGCAGCATTTTCTGTTAAAAAGCTGGAATGAAGTTTTGCACTCACAAATTTTAAGAAAGGCTTTTCAGCCATAGGCTTGCAAGAGTAGTTTTCCTAGGGCCCCAACTGGCGACGCTGACTGTCAACAGACCACTAAGCTATCTATCCTTCACATTGCAAATGTGGCCCACAAGATTGTAGAATCATAGACTGGTTTGGATTGGAAGGGACCTTAAAGCTCATCCAGTTCCAACCCCCCTGCCATCAGCAGGGACACCTTCCACTAGACCAGGTTGCTCAAAGCCTCATCCAACCTGGCCTTGAACACTTCCAGGGAGGAGCAGCCACAACTTCCTTGGGCAACCTGTTCCAGTGTCTGACCACCCTCACAGCGAAGAACTTCTTCCTAATATCTCATCTAAACCTCCCCTCTTTCAGCTTAAACCCATTTCCCCTTGTTTTGTCATTAACTGCCCTTATGAAAAGTCCTTCCCCAGCTTTCTTGTAGCCCCTTCAGGTACTGGGAGGCCGCTGTAAGATCTCCCCGGAGCCTTCTCTTCTCCAGGCTGAAAGATACCGGATTAAAAATGTTTTTGATATTGTACGTTGTGATCTTATAATCGGAATCACAAAGAAAACTAGCTGAAGCTAGAATTCAGGATACAGGTTACCTAATTTCATAGAATCATAGAACAGTTTGGATTGTAAAGGACCTTAAAGATCATCTAGTTCCAACTCTCCTGCTCTGGACAGGGGCTGTCAACGAATTGATTTCTAATTTCTGATCATTTTAGTTCCTTGATTGATCTGTAAGTTAATCCGAATGCGTTCTTTGCTTAACATGACCTTTCTCACATTGCAGAGTGTTCTACCCTACTATGTGGCAACAAAAATGTCCAAAATCCGCAAGCCAACTTTTGATAAGCCCAGTCCTGAGAAGTACGTCAGAGCTGCCTTGGGCACGGTAGGCCTGCAGTCCCAGACTAACGGGTGCCTACCCCATGCACTCATGGTAAGTCACCTTGGAAAACCTAAGGATCTGGAATGTTCTTTGTATGAGTTTATCCTGGAAGAGGAGTGAAGAATAATTTTGAATGTGAAATGTTTTTGTTCTTTAACATGTAACTTGGTGATATTGGTGTGTGCTGGTAACTGTTAGATTTCACTTAGTACAAGCTATCAAATGCTGTGACTTCCCCTCCCCTTTTTGTTTTCTTTTTTATAGGGATGGGTCTTTTCCCTTCTGCCTACACCTACTGTCATTAATTTCCTCATGAAAACAAACAAACAAATACGGGCTCGTTATTTGAAAAAAATGAAGGAGAAGTAAGTTGGAGGCAATTTGATCTCAGAAGCCTGAGACTCCTGCAGGTTTCCATACCCACGCAGCAACATCTACTATCCACGCAGCAGCAGCAGCATCAAGTAGACCTAAAGTTTTCAACGTCTTCAATCGTAGGTGTACTTTCTAACAAGCAAAACAGTCTTGTTTTGAGGATACAAGTGAAACGAGACTGTTAATTTCTATATATTGATTTAAAAATAGGCTTTTTCTGTTTATAGATATTAGGAGGGGGAAATGCTTCGGACTAAAATTGCACTGTGCTTTAAGAAATGCTTAACAATGGACTTGATTAGACATTGCACTGTCGAGGAACAGCTTGGTGTTAGAGCGTCCATCACATCTGTGTATTATTCTGTGGGTGAAGGGCAGAAGAATATTCTCACATATTCCTGGAGAAGTGGGAAGGGAGCATATTGATTTAAAAAGGTAACTTAGTGCTATTCACAGAGTATAACTTTTTCTCATCTCAGGTTTTGGGTACTTGCAAGAATTCTGCATTGTCAGCCAGCTCATGAGTGCTTCCCTGCTTATGTGGTCCAGTGTGATTTTTGGTTATGAACTTGAGGGGAAATGGGCCAAAAACCAAAATGAGTGTAATTGCTCATCTATAAATATATACATAAAATAATATTGCAAAAAAAAAAGTATTTAAATTCTTGGTTCTTGGATATGGATTCTAACTTTTCAGTAATATGTAATAATCTTTACGATTTGTAATAACATTTTTAAAAGTTCAGTGCCTGCTCTTTGTAATAGGTGGTGATAACACAATGTAGATAAATGTCACAAGTTATGTGTTACGTGCTGGTTGCTACGTAAAAGATTATGGGCACTTTAAATGCAGAGCTTGAAATGAGTTACTCTCCTTGTTAGCAATGATGGTTAAATTCTTTCTGATATATATATATATATGTGTGTGTGTATATCTATATATCAGTCTGACTTTTTGGTGAGGCCCTTTGAAATGTAAATCCTGAATATTTGAGGATTTAAATGACTTGAAATTTAAAAATGACAACCAGTAAACTTCTTTAAATGTAGAATGTTTTAATTGTGTTTAAATTAAGTGATTTGTTTCATCGTTCTATTCCAAAACTGAGTGTTCCAGGGAGGCTGAAGTTACTCCACTCCAGGAGACAGGGATCACAGTATATGAGAATTTTGTATTTACCTACTGTTCAAATACAGATTTTGGCCTCTAACATTCCTTTTTTTATAAATATAAAGTGTACTGAAACTTAAAAGGCAAATCAAATTGCAAGCAGCTACTAATGTTTTCTGTGGTAACTTCCTCTGGTTGAAGAGTGAACGTTGTTTTCTGCCCTTGAAAGAATAATTTCAAGCTCTGATTTTGAAGTAAAATATGTTGTACTGGGAGATGATTTGGGGCTAACATTTCTGTACATTGAAAAAAACCTGAATACCGATGCAATGGTGCTGATCAAATCTGAGACGCAGATCCTATCCCATAGTTTTCTTAATTTTTTTTTTTTTTGGAACAGGGATGGTGAAGTCAATGGTATTAGTTTTATAAGAGCACATGCCTTGGTTTGCTCTGGATCTGATGTGGAAGCATTGGACTAAACTGTATGTTTTTGACTTTGTAAAACAAATAAAATGGAATTTACTCTGAATCTTTAGTGTGTTGGTTTTTTTCCTTAAAATATTTGCCTTTATGTTCAAGTGCCTGATTGTCCTTTATCATATATAATAACGCAGTGAAAATTACTGTACTTCTACATGCCAAAACCAAGGCTTTTATTTCTCTCTTTTTCCTGGCTGTTATCTATTTTACAGCACTGATATTTTAAAATCACTGGAACACAAACTGTTAATTAGAATTATTAATTAAACTATTAATAAGAAATAGTTATTTACAAATAACATTTTTATGACTATTGAAGGTGTTTGGAAAGACACGTCTGAGGGGAATAGTGCTGAAGCCACCGTGCCCTGGCAAGGCACATTCTGGTCACGGGGTTGTTGGAGCCTGTGGTGCAAGTGAGGTGCAGTTTTGGTTCCTGCTCTCGTGCTTCCTCAGAGGTCTTTTATTTTCCAGGCTGCAGCAAGGCATTGCTTCTTGTCCTGGTTTCACTAAGATAAAGTTATTTTTCTTCTTAGTAGTTAGAATAGGTGTGGTTTGGTTTCAGTGTGGGATTTGTTATGAGAAGAATGTTGATAAGGTGCTGATGTTGTTAGTTGCTGCTGGTCCAAGGTCGTCATGTTTGGGTAATTTGCAAGTGCAGAGGACTGGGAGGGTGGAAGCGTAGTGATGAGCAAACCCCAAATTAGCATTTGGATGTGCCAATGGGATATTCCATGTCATATCTTGTCATGTTCAGTATATTAACCAGGGTTGATCGGAAAGCTGGGGATCCTCTTGGAGATTGCTCAGGCTCTCGCTGTCCCGGGATTGTGGTTTCAGTTTTGGGACGGTCTCTGCTCAAGGATCGCTGGCTGGGGACAGGCTGGGTATTGATCAGCAGGTGGTGAGTAGTTGTGCTGTGCATCACTCATTCTCATATTCTATTATTATTATATTTCAATTAGTAAATTGTTTTTAAGTCAACCCATGACTTTTCTTAATCTTACCCTTCTGTTTCTCTGTGCTATTCCCTAGGAGGGAGGAGGGTGAGCGAGTGGCTGTGTTTGGCTGCCAGCTGCCACCACACTACTTCACCTAAATTGCCTTGACTTTGCTTTTGAGCATCTGTTCACCTCGGCTATGGAGATGGGGTGTATTCAGTACCTTCTGACGTTCTTTGAAATGCCCTGGGAGAAAATAGAGTGGGTTTTCTTGTGGTACTATGGTTGTGTTGTTGTACCTCTGCTCTGAAGATGATGTCGCTGATGTCATGGAAGAGCTGGAGTGAGTTTTCACTCCCTTTGAGTTTGAATGGGAAAATCAGGGTAGGAGTTGACTAACGTTCTCAGCCTTCTCTTCCCAGAGATCCATCGCTGCCAGTGGTGCAGACCCGTTCCTGAGAGCAGGCTTGCTTCTCAGTGAAGGTGACCACCAACCATCCCTGTGTCACAGCCATGAGTGGGTGGCCAGATGTCGAACAGCTGCTGTTCAGCTTCCTGTTTTGCCTGAGAATGGCACAGAACCTAGGGGAGGAGAAGCATCTCAGCAAAGCGTCTGCAGGTAACATCCATGATACTTCAAGTTGCCATGGCCTCAAGTTGCACCAGGGGAGGTTCAGATTGGATATCAGGAAAAAATTCCTCACTGAAAGGGTTCTCAGGCAGTGGAACGGGCTGACCAGGGAGGTGGTGGAGTCCCCATCCCTGGAGATGTTTAAAAGACGGGTAGATGAGGTGCTCAGAGATCTGGTTTAGTAGTGGACAGGTACAGTTGGATTTGATGATCTCAAAGGTCTTCTCCAGTTGAATGATTCTATATGAGGGGGCCAAGTGCTGGGGCGGGCCTGGGCTGGCACTGACCCCCTGTCATTCTGGCTTCCATCATTGCTTGTAACTTTACAAATCTATAGTGCTGCCTTCTGAACATGGAGAAACCCAGCTGGGATTGCTGCAGCGGGTTACAAACAGAACCACAGAACCACAGAATGTCAGGGATTCGAAGGGACCTGAAAGACCATCCAGTCCAATCCCCCT